GTGTTGCTGAGGTGTTATTCATGGGAAAAGGCGGCCAACAGAAAGTAAATAGGAAGAAAAACAGAAAACAACAGCAAAGAGGAAGGAGCATGTTCCATCCACCTCCTCCTGCTTGCAATCTCTCTCTAGCACGCCCCACTGTCAGAGCTTAACCAACTGACAAATCAGAAACATGACTTGTAGACACCCAGCCCAGTATCAAAAAGCAAAATATGGAACAGTGGGTTTAAAGCTGAGAGATGATAGTTTAATAACCAGTCCAACCAAGGCAAGTTCTTTATGTTTTTGAGACACAGTTTGTCAAATTAAGACACTAATGTCTACCACACGAAGATGTCTTAAGAATTAGACAAATGTATATAAAGCACTTTACACAGTGCTTGACAAAATCCATTATTTCACAATTAATGGTTTCCACTCCTGATTCATCCTCCCAAGTACATCTGCCACCCCCTTAAACAACGACTCTGTAGAACTCCATGTGTGGCCTCATCTATTGCCAGAATATGTCTCAGCAGGAAAAATCTATTTATAAGACCTCAACCAACAGGGAGCTCTTCTAAGTTGGGGACCATATTTGGCTCTTATATTTTCATTTCCATTCCTCCCTGTCGTTCTGGAAATCTGGCAAAAAAATAAATAAAATCACCTACATATTTCCTTGCCCTTGCCACCATCAATTCAATAGATCAGCTTTCCATTAAGATATATTCAAATTCCTTCAGTATACTTCAAGAAAAGTTCTAGAAAGATTTCAAACTTGATTCAACACACTTTACTCTAAAGAACAGTATTCACTATCTTGTGTCCTGAAAGAATCGCATGCCCAAAAAGCAAACACAGGAACCCACTACCATTTTTCTAATGTTTTCAATCCCGCGGCAGCATTCCAGACAAGAGAGACCTTAAGACTAGGAAGGAGAGTTATGAAAGGTAGAGTTGATGCTTTATGGCACATTTTAGAAACAAAAGTCACCATGTCCATGAATGGCCTAAAAACCAACTCCTACATAAAAGAAAAATACAGCTCTTTTGCTATCTTCCTAAAACCATGGGTTCTTAATAGTTCATTCCCTTCCTGATCCAAGGCTCATGTGGTTCTATCTTTATTAATTATAAGACCTTAGGATATTTTCTTCAACCTCTAAGCCTCATTTAATTAAAACAGCATTCTTAACATTATCTCATAAATTTGTTGTAGGAATTAGATAAAACAATACATGTTCGAGGCAAGACAGGAAACAAGGAGTAGTTGTTTACTGGGTACACAGTTTTAGTTTTGCAAGATGAAAGAGTTCTGGAAATCTCTTGGACAGCAATGTAAACATATGAACTGTACATGTAAAATGGTTACAATGGTAAATTTTATGTTCTGTGTTTTTTACCACAATTTTTAAAACTGTTTATTAAATTAATGTATGACTAAAAAGTTCCTATCACATGCATAGGTGCACACACACACACACACACACACACAGAGAATAAACATTCATCACTCATCACAATGCCTGGCACATCATAAGCATTCAAATATCTATAAGGTTCTGTCTCTTTCCCCTTTGAGCCTTCCAACAATCTCCTGACTTCAACTTCACCTGCATGAATTTCTAATTTCTCCCCCTCTGAACACTGTATAGGCCTATTTACATTCCGTCCAGTGCTGTTCCTTAACATTTCAGGGTGGGCATGCTTTATCTTGCCAAGTAGATTGTCAGCTCCTGCAGAAAAGGAACCATCTTTTATATTTCTTCTATGTTCCCCTCCATGTCCAATGTAATCTTTGCATTAACTGTTGAATGAGGGTCTACTTAAAATGAGATGGACTCTCCCAGAGCCAAAACATTCAAGTTACCCCTGCCTGCTCTTGGGCTTCCACTTATCATTATCAATCCACATCTATTTATCGATCTGTTAGCTTATATTAGGATAAGTGGGGAAAAGTAATGAACAGGGAAGATAGAAAGAAAATAAAAAGATATATAAGACATGATTGTTGTCCTCAAAAGTCTTTTTATCTATTTTCACAAAAAAAAACATAATGATATTGGTAAAACTGCAAGGAAAAATGCTAAATGTCCACTGAGTGTTAACAGACAATACGGGAATTCAGCAAGCCATGGAGACTCCAGGGGAAATTCAATAAGAGATTAGTTTTTGAAACACTTAAGTACTAAAGTATATATTCTTCAGAGTTAAGATGATTCTCCAAGGGGTAAAAAGTATATCTGCCTATTAACTCTAAATCTGAGATAAAATTATTATATATTTTCAGGAAAATAATAATAACAACAATTTCCATGCACTCCAGTAGTGTCCAACAGACATACTATCACTAATCCTAAAAGCAAGGGGTGCATCATCCCTATTTATACGTAAGGAAATAGTGTGAAAAAAATTAAGTTACCTGCTAGTTGATGTAGAGATAGTAAGTATTGTATTTGAACATATCTGTCTGATGCCAAAGCATGAACTCCTCCCACTATGCAACTCATTCATTCATCAAACATTTATTGAGAATTTACTCTGAACAAGCATTACGCTAAAGATATTAATTTAAAGAAAACATGATTTCTTCCTTCAAGAGACTCACTGTTTGGTGAGAAGGAAGTTACATAAAGAGACCACACAAAATGTGCTGAGTCCAAGAACAGAGATACACAAAATGTTATGGAGCATGTAGGAAGGAAACCTAACCCATCCTGGGAAATCCTAAAAGGTTTCTTAGAGGAGTAGAATTCTTTAAGTCTTAAGGAATAAAATAAACAATAGCTTACATTTATGTACTTACTAGGCAGATACTATTATTATTCCTGATTTACAGATGAGACAATTAAAGCACAGAAGGGTGAGCAACTTTTCCAGGCTTCAAGAGTTTATAAATAGGTGGTAGAACCAGGATATGAATCTGTTCTCTCTTAATCTCTATAATTTGCTGCACACGAATAAGAGTTTGCCAGAAAAGTGAAGAGAAAAAGAGCAAGACAAAGGCAAGAAACTGCACTGTATGGAACAATATATAAAGCATAATATGGCTAGAGCAGAAAATCACGAGAGGAAATTAGAGAATTATGGGCCAGGTCACAAAAGATCTTGTGTAACATTCTAAGGATCTCATAATTTATCCTATAAACTACAGAGGGATATTAAAAATTTGTACGTTAATAAATGATTATGTCAGCTATTTGAAGGATGGATGTGAGTTAAGACTAATGGGAAATGGGTTGTTGTTGTTGCTGTTATTGTGGTAAAAAAGAAAAAAAACACATTAGATAAATTTACCCTCGTAACAATATTTAAGTGTATAGTACGATAAAGAGACAGTTTTAATATTCAGCAAAGATGAGAACCTAAACTTGGGTGGAGAGAGTAAGACAGAAAACTTGGAAATAATACATGTCTAGATGGCAGAAGAGGCAAAACTTGGTGATGAACTAGATGTGCCTATCTCCCTACCCATCAGACTTGCCTGTTTTAAATAATCTGTCCAAGAAAACAGAAAGCATAAAATATATACATGTGTCATTATGGAATTGGCTAGGCATGGTGCTAGGCACAGGAGCATTAAGAATGAGTAAGACACACTTCCCATCCCAGATGGACCTATATTCTGGAGTGGAGGTGGAGAAGAAGGACGAGTGCAATAAAGGATTATGTGGTTATAAAAGAAATAGGTACAACATTTATTAGGGATCCAAGGCTGGAGTGGTTAGCCCTAACCAGGGTATATCAGAGAAGGGCTGAAGGAGGATATGCCTCAAATTGAATCTGAAAAGATACTTTCCAGTGGATCACGTATTTGAGGTGAATGTTTCTCCAGTGGCAAAGTGGCAAGAATACAGCAGAATAAATAGTTTCAAAGTGAAGTAGGTGAGGAGGGACAAGATAAATACGTGGACCCCTGAAGGCATCAAAAGCAGAACAGGAATTTATTGGCTGCTAGTTCCTCCATTAAAACACGTAAGCACAAGAAGGCAATTGAGGTCACAGAAGAATGAAAGTAGGAGACAAGATAGTGATCTACAATAAAACTATAAGAAGTGCTGTGGTTTTATAGACTATCTGTGGCCACGTGATCACACTCCATCTAGCCCCACCTGAGGTACAGAACTGATGCTCATTATGCTTGGTGAAGTGTATTAGTATATTAGAAGTCTATTAGTTCTACCCTAGACTCTAGCATTTCCTATAATGATATCCTGTAGGATATCATCTTGAGATTCACAGTTAGGGGTCTGCGCATCAGACACTTCCTACTGCTCTTCTAAAGGATTTTAAATTACCTCATAATATCTTATGTTTGGAAGCCTCACTGCCTCAGTCACAAGTATTGGTATTTGTAAGCGAAAGTACATTTTTTTAACCGATGTGTTTACATAGACATTATTTTTCCTAAATGTAATGCCTAATGTCTAAAGGACAATATTATTCATAAATACAAACTCTCAGACTTGAAGAAGAACACCTTTGTTTAACCTGTTTAATATGTAACATCTACATATTACTAACACTTCTACATTCAAGAATCTTCCTGGAAATGGTTATTTATCTCTTTCCAAAGTCAAATTTCTACTGCTGTCCCTAAGAATCAATTTAAGAAAAAGGGAAATCCGTTACTAAAACTGATCACAGACTTTCTAGCTCATTAAATGTACTGTCTTCAGTACAGCAGCAGAGGCTATAAATCTAGTTCTTTGTGAATAATCTCAATATTCCTTATAATGAGGCTTATAAGTATTTTTTATTAAGAAAAATAAAATTATTTAGTGGAAAAAATATTTAATAAAGTTATTTTAATTAGATGTACACATTAATCATATTATTTTACAGGATAATTATAATGATATTTCTCTACTTATTAAGATGAAACTTGTGAGAATGGTTAGAACATAAACAGATAAGAGAGAATATGCAAGCCGGTATTATTTGGGGTAATTTTAAAACGATTTAATAAAGACTGCATCTCCTAGGATAAAATAATTCATCACATGAAGGTGACTTACTTGGAATTGGGAATCAAAAACTCTTAACTTTCACGATCAGCCATGATCCATCCAATCCCCACATCCAGAAGTACCAAATCTGTGATCACAGGCCAGACTGAAAATAGATGGCCAGAACTTGCACATATTTAATACCTGCAATAAAATAAACTGGAGTTACGACATCAGAAGACAGTGGGCTAAGGGCTAACGCAAGTCCTGACTTTTCACACCTGATAGCATGTTTATTCATCCCATTGTACCTCTCCTATTGCCCAGAGGGAAAATAAAGTGTCTGAAGTTTCAATTGGGAAAAGATGACTCACCCTGAAACTTTTTGAGTAGCTTATTAGGGTTTACAATGCTTGTGGACTGCTACTTGTGTTTTATGTGTGGGGGCTGTGGTCAGGATGAAATGAGGCAAAAGACTGGAAAAACAGAAAATAAGTGGTTCTATAGCAGTCATATATTGAAATGACAATGTATGTATCATAAACCTTTACACAGACATTTTAGCATATGGTACACAGGTTCTAAGTAATGTATATGCAAAAGAAAAGGCCTCTAGTACCATTTGACTAGCTTCAACACTGGAAAAATACAAATTAATGATCTCATAAATGTTTCAAAACTGAAAACACTCCTTTCTCCCCAACAAAGGAAAGAAACAATTTCTGGTAATAAATTCTACCAGATATTTTAGTGGTGGTGCTATTTCTATTGCTTTTAAAGATGTATTTTTAATTGTCTTACAGATATCCTTAATCATACAAAAAGAAATCAGAAACTCCCACTTGTCATAGAAAACCCTCAAAATAGGCAATACTATTTCCACTGCTAAAAGTATTTGAAATATATACCAGCATACCCGACATGTCAACTGTTTCCTACAATGTCTTCTCACCAAACTGAGGTGTTTTCACAAAACAACAGGATTCAAGACAAACAGAAGTAGAACTGCTGTGGCAGTAGAGTGTTATCTATGGAGGAGCTCCCTCTCTGTGTCATGCAGGCTGATCCTTACTGGTAGCAATGATAACACTAATATAATGGCCATACTTATTTAATGTTATTTAAGTACCTCCAACTGACATCTAATGAAATAAGGTGCTTTTTTCTTATAAATTCTAATTAGGTCCCCTTACTTCTTTCCTTTCTCTCTCACACTTTCCCTTACTCCAGCTCTCCATCTTGTCTTTTCTTTTGCCCAATAGTAAAAAATGGATGCAAATATGTCTACATGTACTTCAATCTCTACCTCAGGCTGCATTAGAATACCAATGGATCTTAAACAGAATAAACCTGTCACCTCTCCAACCCACCTACCAGGAAGAAAAAAAAAATCCATTTCTTCTCTATGTGCCTGCATCAAAAATTTAGGCAGGTCACCTTTCTTGTTATCCTCCCACATCCAGTAACTTGCCAAAACCCAACATTCTTGCTAAAAGCCTCTCAAATCTGTTCATTCCCCACCCATCTCCCTGTGTCTGCACAATCTGGGGGCCCACAGTTTCTTCTTTGTCTCTTCAATGGTCTTCATGCCTTCACTCTGGGCCCCTCCAACTGCTTTCCACATTGCAGCTAGTTATCAATGTAAAATGCAAATCTGGTCAAGGTCTGCTGGAGACACTTCAATGGCTCCCCATGTTCTTAGGATAAAGTCTTGTGTGTTCATAATACATGTTTTTATAATCACACCTCTGTTTATGTCTTAACCTCCTTTCTTCTTAATGATTCTAACAAAAATAGCCTGTGTTTTAGCCATCATGAACTACAGACAAGTTCTGAGACCTTTGCACCCATTGCCCCTCTTAATTAGAAAACCCTCCCTGTCATATCCCTGCCTTTAACATAACTGATTTTGAATCAATTTAAAGGATTCATCTCAGATGTTAGTTCCTCCAGGACACCTTCTCTCCTACCCACTTGATGTTCCCATAGAAACTGATTATCACCAAAATGGGTGTTCACGTTTACCTTCCCCAAAGGTTAGTAAGTATTTGTTACAAAAAAAAAATGAAAAAATTCAAGTCATTTTGCTGCACTCAACCCTTAATGGCATAGAGTTAAGATGGACCTTATCAAGGTCTATAAATATAAAAATACATGGGTTTATATTTCTAGAAAACCAAGTCTTGAGTTTGCTAGATCTAATTTTATTAATATAAAAGTCAACCTTTATTGTTCCAGAATCATCTCAGTGACACATAATTGTCTGAAAGCTGATCAACTGCTTCCTTCTCAGAACAGTTAGGTGGGCACCTGGGTGGCTCAGTCGGTTAAGCAACCAACTTCAGCTCAGGTCATGATCTCAGGGTTCATGAGTTCGAGCCCCATGTCAGTCTCTGTGCTGACAGCTCAAAGCCTGGAACCTGCTTCAGATTCTGTGTCTCCCTCTCTCTCTCTTCCCCTCCCCTGCTCATGCTTTGTCTGTCTCTCTCAAAAGTAAACATTAAAAAAAAATTTTTTTTAAAAGAAACAGTTAGGAACTGTCTGGTTAACAAAGGGTAGAGAATCATCCAGCTCTAACACTCTTAATGTTATCCAAATCTAAACAAGTGTGATAACTAGAAGCAAACTCAGTCAAAAGAAATATCACCTTCTCAATGATTAACATGAAACCAGCTATCTAACAAAAAAATATTTTCAAGCTTAAAAATAAGCCTTATTTTAGAACAAAAAAATTAGAACCCATTTGAGGTGACTCAAAACTTAGAAATTCATAATGTTAAAGCTTAAGTCTGTGATAAGCAATTGGCATCAAGATAAAGTATTTTTCCAATTTACAACAACCTCTTGGATAAGAAATCTAAAGTTCAACTCTCAAATACAATATTTAAGCTTTGGTTTTGAGTGTGATACATGGGGAAGGGGGTAATGTGTGAATATTCTGTGCTTGCCCTGATGGTTCATAGGTAACAGGTCTGGTAAGCAAAGTTTTAATTAATCTTGCCAGTAGAAGAAGCCATAATCCACAAAGACTCACCCTCCCTGCCAAGCTGCTATTCTGTATTTTGTATGGCTGAGCACAGAATACTGTGCTACCTTATTAAGTGTAGTTGCTACTGGATATTCCACCCAGACTCCCTCCTTCCCTCAACTGTCAGATATACCATCTGTTGACAGTTCACAGTCGTGTCTCTTGGCCACAAGGAACTACCTGACTTAAGGTTAAGGCCCCTCCCAGGGGAAAACCAACAGTCAAGGACCAATTCATACAGAGGAACAAAGGCTCCCCTGCTTCAATTTGGAACAACTCTGAAGGGACATCCCAGCTCCAGAGCTCCCTACAGATTCCACTGATGTTGTACTATATGCCAGCTTCTCCCTCTTCCCAATCCTCTTTCTCATTTCCTTTCAGGTGCATTTCGGGAGACCAGTTCTCAAAAAAACTTTTACATGCAACTCTTCATCTCAGAATCTATTTCCAATGCAACCTAATCTAAGACTCTTCGATACTTGTGTAATGCAAATACAGCAGTATACAGTAGTTTTGCTGATTTCATCATAACTTTGCCTTGGTCTTCCATTAGAGATATGAATCGATTAATCGAGGCAGAGGCAAGATCTGGAACTTAATCTATCCTAACTGATTCCAGTTGCCTTTTAATTGCAACAAAATTTAGGAACCAACTCATTGGCATTAAAAGCTACCTTATTTCTACCCTTTATCCTGAATAATTTTGAACGTTTGGCAAAAGTTGTTGGATAATTTTATCATCACCCAATTTTAAGAAGGATAATATTCTAGTAAAATTCTAGTTGAAAGAGCACAAATAGAAAAGAATAAAAATGATTTGTCCATAGCATTATGTCCTCAAAGAGATGGGAAATGTATTTTATTGGACTTATAAGGACTCAGGTCTTTTCTGATAAAAATGAAAAGAATTAGAATAGCATTTAGTTCTCATGTTCTCAATCTTTTAAGATCTGCTTTTGAGGGGTGCATGGGTAGCTCAGTCAGTTGAGCATCTAACTCTTGATTTTGGCTCAAGTCATGATACCAGGGTCAAGGGATCAAGCCCCACTTTGGGTTCCACACTGAACACAGAACCTGGTTAATATTCTCTCTCTCCCTCTTTCCCTCTCCCCCACTTGCACTCTCTCTCTAAAATAAAAAACAAAGAAAATAAAATAAAGCAAAACAAAACAAAATAAAATACTCTCCTTTTAAAATGAATGAAAGGTTGTCATTGAATCAAATGACTCTTTTATCCCATCCACTTATCAATCCAAATGATATGAAAGGATTCTAGCTTTGGAGGTCTTTGTCTTTTTGAGTTTTGTTGTTGTTTTGGTACTATCATTTTGAAGAGTAGAAATTAAATCACCTGATCCACCTAAGGGCAGTCCCATTTATCTCAGACTTAAGCTTCTCTTCCAGAGCATATAGACACAAAGGAAACACTTAAATAGGTCAGAGTACAACAGCAGACAGATTCAGATGTGCCATCTTTTTAATAAAATACAACTTTTATATATGGTCAGAGTTTGCCACACAGTAAAGCCAACTTGCCCACAAAAATCAAACTTCTGTCATGAATAGAAACTTTTCTAAAGAAGATATCCAGATGGCCAAAGGACACATGAAAAGATGCTTGATGTCACTCATCATCAAGGAAATACAAATCAAAACCACACTGTGATACCACCTCACACTGGCTAAAATTAACAACTCGGGAAACAACAGATGCTGGCAAGGATGTGGAGAAATGGAAACCCTCTTGCACTGTTGGTGGGAATGCGAATCAGTGCAGCTGCTCTGGAAAACAGTATGGAGGTTCCTCAAGAAATTAAAAATAGAACTATCCTATGACCCAGCAAACAGCACTACTAGGAATTTATCCAAAGGATACAGGAGCACTGATTCATAGGGGCACATGTACCCCAATGTTTATAGCAGTGCTTTCAACAATTGGCAAATTACGGAAAGAGCCCAAATGTCCAGCAACTGATGAATGAAGAAGATGTGGTTTATACACACAATGGAATACTACTTGACAATGAGAAAGAATGAAATCATGCCAGATGGAACGGGAAGGTATTATGCTGAGGGAAATAAGTCAGTCAGAGAAAGACAGATATCATATGTTTTCACTCATGTGTGGATCTTGAGAAACTTAACAGAAGACTGTAGGAGAAGGGAGGGGGAAAAG